ATTATAAACAAGTGATTCATTTAAATTAAAGGATGCATGAGGGTGTTTGGTACAGTTGTTTCCATTTTTCTTAAGTTTGAACTATTTCAAAATAAAGTTAACAAAAGAGCTAAGTACTTACACAAATGTATATAAAATACTAATGTGTGTATAAAGGCCTTGAGAGTTACTATAGTCGTTTTCTGTACATAAAAACTACTCTCAGAAATCTCAGACTTCCTAGAGTCACAATAGGTATTGTAATTGTTTTGGATTCTCTGGAATGTATCACGTTATCAGTCTGTGCAATAGCAACACCTTGAGATTCATTGGATGAGCTGTGGTTTCCACTCCCATGGTTTTGCTACTGTAGGAAAGCTTTGAATTCTTTCCTCCACTTAATCTGGAAGAAAAATCTTTCCATGTGTGCAAGTGCCTGCCTTTGTATTCATTCCTCCATTAGAGCATTACAAATGCAGGAAATCCCATCACAGTTCCACAGAACACATGCATTCGTCTCGGTGCTTTCCTCCAGACACACATTTTGCTTGCTGGTGCACAACCTGCGCCAGCTTGATCCGCTTTAATTTTTAACTTTATTAATTCTGTCCCCTTCAGCATGTGCAAAGAATAGAATGGAAAGCCCATTGAACTCCTTAGAGTCATCTATACTGTTGTTTCAGACACAGCATAAGGCTGAAGAGTCCTCAGTTATTATGTTAACAGCCAGTCTGAGTATTGTAGAAAAAGCATGTTTGGATAGTGGAGGAGGGATGTATCATTTATTCAAATAGGCTGACTTATCTTGGCATGTGGTTTTCTCTAAATCCTTTCAATGCAGCAGTCATTCCGGTGGTTTCATTATTTTGCACCCCACCCCAAGTTAGCACATGATTCTTAGCAGAGTTGTCACTAGAATATCACTCTTGAGTTGCATCAGTTCTTATTATTTTCAAATCATTGGAATTGGCTGTATCACATGTTTAGTTGCCCATAAGCATTTGACCCCCATTGGGGATCATATCACCCTAAACAAAATAACTTCACTCAAGGAAAGCTCCATTGCTATTCATCTCCTTTTCATCTTCATTGCTAATAGAAGAAGGACAGTGGGACAGAGATTGGAAAGGGAGTCTCAGTGTGGTGGTAGCCATCACCATGTTTGCAGAAACCTCCTCAGACATCATTATGGCCCCTCATCTACCATTCACATATCCAGAGGTCTTGTACAATTAACAATTGATAGATGATGAAACTCTCTTAAAGAGTAAGAGGCCAATTTCAAGTTGGCTTAATACTGGTTATTGCTAAAATGAACTTAGAAAAAAAACAACTTACCTGCCAAGTTACAGTGGTTTGCCTTTGATCCTGCAATTTCATTTGTACTGATGTGGACATTTGTATACAAGTGGAATGATAGAAAAGGACATGTGTAATACTGTTTGCTACTTTCAATGGCAAAGACTGAAAAGCAACATATGCCAAAAGAATGCCCTGAAATAGTTTATACATATTAGAATATTTATGACTTGGAAGGAGAGAATGAGAAAACATTTTACAAACTGAAATGGAAATATCTCAAGGGGGGTGAGAAGATGGCTCAGTGGGTAGAGTGCTTGCCACACAAGCATGGTTACCTGAGTTTAAATCCCCAAACTACATGTAAAACCTGGTGTAGGTATTCCATGCCTGTCAATACAGTTCTCCTATGGTGAGACAAAAGGCAGAAGAATCCCTAGAAGCTTGCAGGACACCCCACCTGGCATCCAAAGTGGTGAAAAGCAAAGAGACCCTGTCTCACATAAGGTGAAAGATGAAGAATGACATACATTGTTGTCTTTGCACAGTCATAATTGCCCCATGGCACCTACACACTGGGATTAACACACAGCACACACATCAAGTACATATATGAGCTCTGGGGTTTGTTTTGTTTTCTTGAGACAGGATCTCACTATGTAGCCTTGGCTGGCCTGAAACTCCTTACATAGATTTGGCTGGTCTTGACTTTAAGGTGATTCTCCTGCCTTTGTCTTTTAAGTGCTGATATTACAGGGTCTGCACCATTGTGCCTGCGTTTTTTAATGTAAATCATTTTTTTAGTGTCTGAAATAATGCCTTTCATCACGATACTGTCATACATACATAACATTATGCCTTGCTCAAATTCCTTCTCATTACCATCATTTATCCATCTTCTCCCCTCAACAGGGCCCTTGCTCCCCCAAATAGTCCCCTTTCTGCTTTTATGTCATTGATACATGTGTAGTTAAATGTAGGTTCCACTTATGTCATCAGATGTGTGCAGAGTATGTATATGTTGCATACATATACAATCTGTATATATTCTTAAGAGGTTTTGAATACATAAATATGCTTTGTTTAGAAATAAAATAAAACAGGGCATGTCTTTGCAGTCCCAGCCATTCCAGAGGCTAAGGCAGGATGGAACATATGAATCTAAGAGGTCAAGGGCACAGAAAGAGAAATGAAGTAATGTAAAAGAAAAAATAAACCACTACAGTCCAACCAACAGGTCTTTTTTTGTAACATAACTGCGTGCTTTATTGAGATACACAGTAAAGCAGTAATATAATACAATAGTAAGGCATATATTTGGTGAAGTCTGATATGTTGTGAAAATGCAGTAAAACTGAAGTTTAAAAAAATAATTAGTAAAGGTTACAGTGTTGGTGTTAAAACACAATCTATTATGATACTCAAGTAAGAATCCAGTACCTGGAGACAATGATGATACATGCCATGTGATGATTATGCTTCAGTTACACTGATTATGATTTACAGTTTAATACTTGGTGATTATAAAGAACATGAAATAATGTCCAAATTATGCTTAAAATCAGCAATAAAGCTCTCAGTTTTTATTCAAATATTTTGACAGATTCACTCCAGAACTAATATCTAAAAGATAAAACGAAAAGATTAAAACCAAACTATGCACTCTATCTACCTTGGATCTTAGAATGAAACTTAAAACTTCTTAGTAAGATGGAAAGGAACCCCTTTGTTTTAAATCTTGGTGAAAACAAACCCTTGGATAAAAAAAATGCCCAGTGCCACATAAAGGAAAGAGAGAGAGAGAGAGAGAGAGAGAGAGAGAGAGAGAGAGAGAGAGAGAGAGAGAAGCAAGACAACCAAATTTCAATTTGTTATCTTAGAGCTTTGGGTTTTCTTTTTGAAAATTATAAACAAAAAAAGGAGACCAGTGTCCACACAACAGACAAGTGGTGAAGTTGTGAAATTAGGTGTGCACAATTACCAGGAACACCCCAAAATCAAAGTGAGGTAGAAATAGCATGAGAAGCTGTGTTTGATGTTAATTACAATTAATAATGGACAAAACCCACTCGCTAGAAGTTAATTACACTTGATGTTAGAGGTAACGGATTTGCGAAATAATAGGACAGTGATTTCTATTGAGAGAATGCTCTTTAAATGCTAAGAGGAATAAATGACATGAGAGGAAGTAAAGCTTTTCCTACCAGTCCTTAGCTTTCTGTTTCAACTTTTCTCCTGGTTCAATGACATGCATTTATTTAGACATTTCAGCCTGTCAAATATTCCAGAGAATTTGGAGAGGCTTTTGCTCTCAAAACTTTCTAACCACTGTGCCTTCTCACTCACAAACCTGTGTGGAGTTACAGGGAAACCAATGCAAAGGAGACAAATGCAGTTCATGGGCTTCTGGATTGATATTCACCAGGGTCACAATGTGATTGGGTTACTTTCTTACCAATAATCCTAAATCTTGCAGCATTTAAAAAAATCATCACATGAGAAAGAAAAACCAAAAAATCTAAAATCTAAAATTCGTCATCATCATCATCAACAACAACAACAACAACAACAACAACAAAACCACCCACTTCAGGTTGAGTTTACGAAGAGGGCAGAACAATTTAGTTGTAATTATAGAGATGTTTATATGTATAGTTGTGAATATTCATCTATTCTTTTACAGAGTTGCTGCTCCACTCATAAGAATTGACTGAGGAGCCACAACCTTTAGCCCCTACCATCTTCCTCCTACTGCCTGGGAGTTAAAAATGTCTTCTGATGTTCAATTGCAGAAACATCATTAAATCTAACCCAGCAGTCGGAAGTTGAATATATCAACCAACAAATTAGTATGATATAGTAAGTCCTGTGTATTCATTCGCATGTTCCTTTAAAAAAATGAAAGCTCTAGCTGTCAGTGGAAAGTTTAAAACTAGAAACATCTGGAGCCCTAGACAATATTTTAGTGTGGTAGTATTCTGGCTTCAGGCTCCAGGGAAAATTCACTCTTGCCCAAGCAGATAAGCCCAGATGACTAGAAGCAATTTATTTCCATTAGGAAGTGGCAAGAACATTTGAAGAAGTAATTTTACATCTATTTATCTATATACCTATAGTATTTATATACTTGTAGACATATAGATGTATAAAATGAAAGCCCATATTCAGCCCCACTCAGTCAACAATTCTCAAAAGAGCAATATGAAGCAGTCATTTGGTGGGGTTCAAGGAAGTCCTATCTTTAATATGCAAGAAAAGAAAAAAACGTCATGAATTCCATATGAATATCACGCTAAAGTAATGCAAAACAATGTGCTGCCTCAGTGTGTGTGTGTGTGTGTATGTGTGTGTGTGTGTGTATCTGTGTCTGTGTATGTGTTTAGGGGTTTTTATAAACAACTTTTTTTTTATAAAGCACACTTTAGTTTACAATCTTTCTTTATAACTGTTATAAATTTTTAAACAACCCAAAATGCGTTCCATATAAAGAAATGGCAAGTTATTTAGCTATCAAGATTTTACATGTTTTCTTTTAACTTTTTTGTACAATTGCATAGACGTGTAAAACCTGCCATTGTTAACAAAACAATAACAGACTTAGAAACTACTGAAATCTACAGTATAGTACCACTACCCTTCACAAAAATATAGATTTTATTTCTTGTAAACTCTTACTGTCTAATCCTCTTTGTTGTATGAATATTATAAAAACCATGCGGGAATCAGGAGTTGTAAAACATTTATTCTGCTCCTTCTTCATCTGTCATGACTGAAACTAAGGACTCCATCGCTCTGCCCAAATCATCTGCCATGTGGAAAAGGCTTCCTACATTGTGTCCTGGAAAACAAAGAGAAAGAAAGAGTTTACAAAGTGTTCAGGTATTGTACCCCTGGTTGCCACCATAGGGAGTCATTACCATTTCAGGAAAAGACAACACAGAAGCTTCATTGAAGGTATACAGAACACAGTCCATTTTTACCCATTTCCAGCAAGAAGCAAAGCCTTGTTAATGAAGCATTGCATGGTGTTAGTATTAGCTTAATACTGGATCAGCATGGTGTCATTTGATGGGGAAAATGTAAATTGATGCATTCATCTTCCTAACACGTCTCTAAGGGACTCCATAGACAGGTACAAGGCTCTTATCACCTAGAAAGATTTGTAATGGATACACCTTTCACACTTTGTTGTATTTACTACAGTGGTATTTATTCTGTTGTATATACTATGCTTTTACTATCAAATCACTATCACCTTCCCTGCCTGCTAAGATCACGATTACCAGCACATTGACCATGACTACCACATAAAATTGTCCTTTATTGGCTGCTTCAAGCCCGTGAAGTATAACCATGCTATGGTGGACATGGCTATTTTCTTTCTGCTTTTACTTGGGCTGAAAAATAAATTCTTGATTTGACCTTTTTGTACACCACTCACATATAAATCAGAAAGCTTCAGAATGAAAACCACTTTATGCTCCAAATTACTCTGCAGCCTAATTATAATATGACCTAAATGTAGTGCAAAGATTTGGAGATCCTGAGAATCCATCTTTGCTTGACTACTAAATGAGGGTTAACTATCAAAATAGCCTTTTCATAATAATATGGCATGACCTGGCATTTATCCTCCAACATGTAATCAAGAGCATATTATATGTGGGTACTTAGCAAAACTAACATCTGGAGTAGAATAATCTGAGATGTACCCTATAGCTCTCTTTTCGGTATATGTCCCATATTTTATGAGTCTTCCTTTAATTCTTAAACCTTGGTAAGTCATTCTCTTTTTCAAGTATTGCTCTTGGAAATGAGATACTTTATTAGGCCATTACTACCTTACCATGTATCAGCTTGACAGAGTCTCATAATTGCTAAAATCCCAATAAAATTTAAAGATAAACCAGAACATGTATTCTGTTTTAATATTTATTTCAAGACATACATATGTTAAACAAAATATGGAAGAATTAGAAGATTCATAGGCAAGCACTTACATAGCAATGATACCAGATCAATTCAAGATGAATTAAATGTGTAATGCCACTGAAGCATTTATATTAAGATGGCTAAGTTTGTAAATCTCTTTGAGTTTTATTACTGCAGAGAACTTCATTGAGAGCTAATTGTGTTTTAAAAAATTACTTTGTAATTTGGTTGAGACTTCAAATATTAAATGTTTAACAGAGCATACATACTATTCATAAAGTGGGCCAATGTTATGGCAGTAAAAACTGAAATCATCATTGGAGAGACAGAGATAGAGATAGAGAGATAGAGAGATAGATAGAGAGATGAGATAAATAGATTTTCATTCAACATAGGAAGGCGAGGTATACTTGTATACGCCTGTAATCCTGGTACTCAGGAAGAGGATGTCAATCAAATTCAAGGGCACCATTGGGTTACACAGTGAGATCCCATCTTTAAAACAACCAACAAATGAAAAATGAAAGCAAAATGACAGAAAGTCATAGTGGGGTCTTTTGTTGTTCTGTGGATCTCAGAAATATACATGTGACATTCAGAGGTTGGAGGGAGTCCCCTGTATCTACTTTTCACTGTACAGCAGCCAGCCCTGGGAAATCTGCACAATTACTCACACTTCAAAGTGGATGGAGTGATTGCAACTTTTGGATTATTTGTGATCTTACCAAAGCCAGTAAGAAATATTCTAATAGACTTGCAGTGAATATGATTCTAACCATATTTTATGATACACGGATACTCTAGAATACTACCCAGTAGCTAGATGATATATTTTGAAGTTTCAAAGACAGTAAACTAAATAAGTGTACTGATCATCTATATCCCCTATAGTCTATATTTCTAGTCTTTAAAATAGAGTTCAGTTATTACCTAGAAGAAACACTGGACTATCTTGAAGTATTAGTTCTAGGGAGTATCTGCTAATCAAAAGTTTGTCAGCAGAAAGAAAGGTTCATTATTATTAATATACTATACACACTAGCATAAAATGTTGGGTTGTATTAACCTGCTTAAGCTGTTCAGTGTTGGTAAGGGTCTTTATGATAATTCTTATGCTATAAAAATTAAGAACTTCTAGAGATGGTTTGCTATATCTATTATATGTATGGTATTACATATTTGGTAATATAATAAATACCCATTTCATTAGAATAATGATTCTAATTTTATGGAAGTTTTATTTGATACAGAAAGCAAGCAAAATAAAATCAAATTCATTATCTTCGACAAAATACTGACCCAAAGCATTAAACCTCAATTCACTGAAGTGGTAAAACAAGGATGTAGGACATAAATTTATATGTATCATGGTTTATATTATCTTCTGTGTAAGGGAGGGTACAGTGAGGTCATTATCTTTACTTGACAAAATCTAAAGATACCATTCAAATATCATACTATAAATGCAAAAGGTCCAAAAGTAGCCAGAATTCAAGCAATAGCAATGGGCTTCAGGCACAGTGTGACACAAAAATATGTCTATAGAAAGTATTAATTTAATCCGCTCTTAAGCAAGGATTATTGAACACAAAGGCACCATGCGCTGAACATTAGGACAGTTTTATGTGTTTCCAAGTTGGCTCTAACTGCAACACATTTAGCCTCATATGCCACCACTGCCTAAGGGAGTTGTTTTCCACAGTGATTGGAATTGAGACTTTCTGGCAAAGATCCAAGACCTCAATAGCAATCTGGCACTCTTTTTTTTTTTTAATACAACTCCCAAATAAATGGTTAGCGTTCAATTGGCCAAAGAAAAGCCAGACAACTACAGTGAAATAGGCTTATCTTTTCCTCTCTGTAATTTCATCTCTGAAAATAAAATATTTGGCCTTAATGTGAGTTTAGGGTGTTTTCATAGCTGTATAATGTCATTATGCCTATGACACTGTGATATCTGGGAGCTCATTTCACTATCCTGCATCTCAGGTAGTAGTCAGTGATTCAATTCAATCTACCAGACGTTAAAAATATTCATGGATAAAACATGTCCAAGGACTCAAAGTTAGGATGCATTTATTTTCCACAAAACAATATTAAAATTTAAGGTGGGCACTTACCATTAAAATCAACCAAGAAGTCTCATAGACTAAGCATATGAGTCAGGAGCATTCAACGCATGACTGATTCAAATTTTCTGAATTTCTCCTTCAAGCTACTATTCCCTCCCTGGAATTCTCTTCCCTCTTTTTGAAAGGACATCAGTGTAGACACACTGAGAACCATGACATTTATTATAATTGCATAGGATTGGCAGAATTTCTAGTATAACTACTTAGGTTTGTTTTAAAGAGATTTATACTATTTTTTAATGTTCTTAACTATGTGTACTTGTGAGAGGTGGTATTTGTAGTTGCCCATGGAGGCTCATTGGGTCCCCTGAAAACGGAGTTACAGGTGGGTTTGAGCCTCTTGATAACAGTATTGGGAACTGAACGTGGGTCCTCTGTAAGAGCACTTAACTGCTGAGCCATTCTCCAGCCCCATGACTATTTGTGTTTAAATGTATTAGTGTCTACTTGTGTATCTCTGTGCTAAGGATGTAGATCAAGAACATTCTATCTGTCCAGCTTATCTCTCAGAACACAGCACATACCATTGGCATCTCTTAGGAGAGCTTGCTTGCCTCCCTCCTTTACATGAAAATCTTGGTTAGGTCAATCTTATTCCACTTGGACTGACACTTAACACTTTGTCAACCAGCTGTCACTTGAGTAGATAATAAGTCAATGTTCAGATAATAGCATAAGATGAAGAAGCAGCTTTCACTGTAAAAGCTCAAAGTATATTCAGTGTTAACACTGCTCATTTCAACCCATTTAAAACATATCAAAACCCCAACATTCATTTTTTAAAATTCAATTGGTTACTATTCTGTTTGGATCCAAATGTCAAATAAAGAGTGAGTCTTCTAAAGGGCATGTTGAGACGATGCAGCGTTTCCAGCACTGAGGCTATTAATTTGACTTTCAAACCAGACTTCCTTGGCTCTGCCACTCTGGACACTTTGCTTACACACTCCATGATTCAGTTACCTTAAGTTTGAAAAACAGAGTTCAGAAGAATACCTACCTCATAGGTTTGTCCTGAAGATTACGTGATAGGAAAATAAATGGCAACTGCCCACAACAGTGCTTGGCACACAATACATGCTCAAACAAATCTTAGCTAAAATGGAAATGAAGGAGTGTAGGAACCAGGAAAAGAGGGGGAAAGCAAAACAAAATAAAAGGAAGTAATCATCTCAGAAGACTAAAACCCAAAGACCTTGGCAGAAAATGCTCAGGTCCTGGAAATGGAAGGAAGCTTTATGACTCATCAATAATGTTCAAGGTGAAGCTTATTTTGAATATTCTGTTTGTGGTACAGATGGCAACAGATTCGAACCTAAGGATTAGAAAGGATTGCCATATTTGTGAGACTCCAGTTCCCCCCACCCCTGTTGTTGTTGTCATGGAGATGACAACAGCAATGAATATTGGAGGAATTCTCATGAGTTGCAGGTAGAGAGGTGGCTTCCATCCTCACATGAAGACAGAATGTGTAATACACACATGCGCGTGCGCACACACACAGTTCTTACACAAAGGCCAGACACAGAAAGCAGGATGAGACAGACAGAAGCCATGGCTGTGAGCCCGAGTCTCACTAACCTCTCTCATTGGCTTTCCAGGGGCATTTCTTCCTTTAATAATAGAGAGAGGAAGAGGCAGATAGATCAGAAAGGAAAAATAAGACATGCATAAATATACAGTTTTATACAAATTTGCTTCTTTTTCCAAACAGATATTGAAGTGACAATTCATTTACTCCCTTAGAGAAAAAAAAAGAAACAGGAAATCCCACAGACACATCTAGTCAAATAACCTTTACATACACTTAAAATCAGTGTAAACAGATAACAGGACCCAAAAGACATCATTTGTAGTATCCATAAATTTCACACATTAAACTGGATGAAAATCACACAGAATAGGAATTTGACAAATGGGACCATTGTTTTCAAGGGTGACTATAATAGAATCTCAAGCTTGGCATTCAACAGTCCCATAATCTCTTTTCTTTTGACTTGACAATCCATGTATTAAAACATCAAAAGTTGTTGATTGTGTATCAAAGCAGAACCCACAAAGGACATGGACTCTATACTCTAGGGAATAGTTTGTTCTATCTTCTAGAAGATATGTCCTGATGGGGACAGTTTGTCAGCAGCAGAAAGGGAAGAGAGGATGGCTTAAGTTCCACTAAATGGGCCAACAACAGGATGAGATCAAAGAATAACCCTTCAACCTCTTCCTTTTAATTCAGTATTGAAAACTGTGTGTTGAGAATCGGTGGCTAGAGCCTGTTCTTGTTTTATAGAACCCAGTGCCTACATATAAACCTATGTTTTGAGAACAAAAGCTGGTAAGAAAATATCCCATGATAATATTCATAATTGGACATCCCATTTCATGTTGTCTCCAGGCTGTGCAAAAGCCTTTTGATTTTTAGCTATGGGAGAATTTTTTGCAGTCTTACATGAAGTTTCCCTATTTTGAGCAGATAAAACCAACAGCTGTGAAAGATCCTATCCAACATTATCTTTCTCCCCAACTCACCACGCTCCCATTCTCAGTGGCTCTACAACTAAACCTCTCCAATTCGAAAAGCACTACTCTAGAGTGTAGATAGGGAGCTGGAAACGGAACCTTTAACCACTCACATTTAAGGCTTCATACTTGTGATGCACATGTAAAGGTTTTTCCAAGGGGAACTTCTCTTCCTTCTTTTTTTCCTTCTGAATTTTACCAAAGAGGTCAGAGATTTAAAGGTTGTAGTAACTGAAATTTGGCCACATAAAACTATGCATTCAAGTTGTTCCTCAAGCCAGGGACAAGACAGAAAATATGCCTATGAGTTCCTCAGTAGTGTGTATTACCAGAAGCAAACTCACACAGAGGATAGGGAGAGGGGCATGAACATCATTTCACACTTCGTTGCTCAAATAAAACCTAGTACAAATTACTTACTCTTTCTTTTGGACTCTCTGCCAAGATTTTTCTTTTGAAAACTGAATCTTTATCATTCAGACCTCTATTGTCTGGCAGCAGAATCAATTCTCTTCTATGGCTATGGACTTATGAAGGATAGGGCCCACATCTCTGCCACCACTCTGTTCTCAGCCTTATGTACTCTACCTAAAATGCTATCAGTGCTGATGAAACTGAATCAATCGTGATTGTCATTTTGAAATACCTGGGAAGAAGACTGGCTTGCCAGCAGTTTTATGGGGCATTTTATTGATTGCTAGAAAGTAATGTTGGAGGGCCCAGCTCAGTGTGGATGGTACTATCCCTGGGCAGGGGAGCCCAAGGTATATAAGAATAGTAGGTGAATGTGAGCTTGAAAGAAAGCCATTAACCAATTTTCTTTTATGGTCTCTGCTTCAGTTCCTGTCTCTAGATTTCTGTGTTAGCATTCACTGATAATAGACTATAAAGTGTAAAATAAAGTTGCTTTTGGTTAGTGTTTTATCGCATGAACAGAGAACCAAGTAGAATATAATTGTATCGGTGAAGACATGGTCAAGAGTCTTCTGTGTTATAAGTAATCTGGATATGAGTCCTACCTCTACAGTGGTTCTCAACCTTCTTAATGCTGCAACCCCTTAATACAGTTCCTCCTGTTGTGGAGACCCCAACCACAAAAGTATTTTGTTATTACTTCATAACTGTAACTTTGCTACTTTTATAAATCATAATGTCAATATATGATATGCAGGATATCTGATATGTAACCTCTGTGAAAGGATCCTTTGACCCCAAAAGGGTTTGCTACTCATAGGTTGAAAACTGCTGCTTTAGAGGTTAGATTCCAAAGGCTAACAGTTCTTTGGTTTATTTTTAGACTTCAGAACGTTAGCAAGGGCAGAGTTGTGAGAAATCTATATGATTTACTTTCAAAATTTTATTGTGACCAAGGTTATAGATATTTATTAATTCTATATTAAGCTATATACAGGTCATTTTCAGCGGGTTATTGCTGAAAATGATGCAGTAATAGGTATTTGATCTGTCCTCTGTACTTTTTCAGAAGTCACAGTGTATGGAACCCTAATATCTTTCTGAATTTTCTTTTGACACTTAGTTATCTATAGGCTCACAAATAGTCTACAAAAGAAAAGGCCCCTTTTTCTCAAGGTAGAAATCGACGTTTTTCTACTGTACTAAAGATAGTTCCTCACTGACAAAATACAAATTACTTGGTTGCAACATTTTAAAATGCAAGTATCCACTTGAAGATTTTATTTCATAAATATGTCCTTTAGAATGTTTCCATAGATCTTCAGTTAGGGTTTCTTTCTGGCAATGTGGTATGTTATCAGGAAATGAATCAAGAGAAAAGGGAGCTGTGCTGGGCATGCCTAGGTATAAATCAGAAGCTTGGTTGGGTCTGGGGAAGTCTAGTTTCCTGATGCAACAAGAATTTGAGATTATTGACTGGAACTCATAGTTTCAGAGAAAGAATTGGGAAAAATTATTGTCTTCTAGGTGCCTTCAGCTTTCTTAGCTCACTAGTGGTTTAAGCAAAAGCTAAAGGTTAGGATTTTAGGTTGATAATCATTTTGGGGTTTCTATTTTACTACTACTCAAACATGATTTAAATGGGTGTACTTTCCTGAACGTGAAGGCTTTCTGGTGTACAGATACAAACGCACAAAATGATGCCTCTCAACAGCTTTGCTGAGCTGGAAAGCTAAGCTGCCATGTAGCTTGCAGGTGTGCACATGTAAGGAGTCTGAATGGACACAAGATAAAAGTACAAAGCAAGGCTGACCAAACTTTCTCTGCAAAGGACCAGGTAGTAAATACTTTCAGATTTATCAGCCACATAGTCACTGTAGCAACTACTAAACTCGGTGACTACTACTCTGCTTTTAGAGAAACCATGAATTCTATACAAATGAATGGATGTGACTATGTTGCAATAACCTTGATTCCTACAAACAGTAGTGGGCCCGATAGGGCTCAAATTTTCTAGATTGTAGGTCTCCAGTACAAATGGATAATTTAGCATACCCTTTGTGAATGTGTATATTAAGCTTCTGCCTGACTTTTAAAAAATTGTATTTTATTTTATGTGCTTGGGTATTTTGCCTGTATGTATGTCTCTGTATTACATGCATGCCTGGTGCCTGCAGAGTACAGAATAGGGCATAGGATACCCCTGAAACTGGCATTACAGAAGATTGTGAGTCACCATATAGGTGATGGGAATCAAACCAAAATTCTCTGGAAAAGAAGTCAATGTTCTTAACTGCCGAGCTATTCCTCCAGACCTTGCCCACCTTTTTGTTTGTTAGCTTTTTAATGCTAGGGATTGAACACAGTCCCTTGTTAAGGCTAAGCATGTGCTTCAGCAATGACCTCCATCTTCTATTTTGTTTTACCTTTTATTTCTTGCCCATAAAATAGCCATAAAAGAAAGTTTCAATATTAAAAAATAGCAGGTTTAAAAAAAGCTGTTTGTGAGGTTGGTTATTTTGGGGCATTTGGCAGAGTGCATATGAGCTTATTTAGGTGATGGTGGTATAAAAAGACAAAAAGATACCATGGGCTTTTAGTGATAATATTCTGTGGAATAGATCAATATGCATGAAATATCAGAAGTAGAAGAAATCCTCAAATAGGAGTATTTTCTTGATTGTCTTATGCACTGAGATTGTCTTATATGATATTATTTATTAATCTCTATAAGGGAGCACTTCATTTTAGAAAGTCCAATGCCATATCACCAAGAAAGCACCTCTTTTATTAATGTGCATACTTGTACATAGAAATCGACATTGGAACACCACTAAATGATCAGAGACACATGAAAAAAGTGCTTAAGGTGCTTAATATTAAATGATATGTATCTCTTATTCTACTCATGTAGTGTTTCTATGCAATAATGGTAAGTGTTTTAGGGTAGGCAATGTCTACTATGCTATAATTCAATGTTTATAAATACTTAAAGAGGGGCAGATTATGGATAGATAAACAGATCATACAGAAACCGGCTAATGTACACTGAACACTCAATTACGAACAACTAACTATAACTAAAGAGTAATGAGGAAAGATAAAATCACAGACTTAAATGTGCACACATGCACACTTTGGGTGTGCTGCAGTCTATATTGCCTAATATTCAGAATAGAGATGGCCATGGCTTCGCACTAAGTGGAAAAGCATGCTGTATTTATTAATCTCAATAACAGCTGAGCAAAACCATTTAGATAATATCAGAGGCCCAATTTAACCTGCTGAACAGCTATGAAAAAGAAACCTAACTTCTGTGTGCTTCTACGCACTCTGGAAATGAAAGGTAAAGTTTAGATACCTGGTCCAGGTTTAGGGGGAGCACAGATGTTGTAAATTCAAGGCATACAGTAACACATTTTATCTGTTTATTTTCTAAATTTATGACAGTTTTAATTTATTTCTACAATAAAGCTTTTCCTTTGTTGGAAATTAATGCTGGGTAAAACAAACCACGAGGTGGTATTTAATAACACATTTCCACTAAATGTCAGACCTCTGGCTCTGACATCTGTTTTGAGTTACTGAAACAGTTGTCTGAAATATCTGTATCAACCAAGGAACATGGACAGATGAGTCAGAGGAAGACTATCAAGTCCTGTAAGACATTAATTAGCTCAGTTTTGACAGAAACTTGCATGGTTAAAAAAAAGTGAATTTTTAAAAGATATATACATGGAGAAGGAAAACTGAGACAAGATAGATAAGAAAACTTTGTAACACTGGATCCTAAAGTTATTTTGCCAGGTTGTAACCAATATTTTATTCCTGAATAAATTAGACAGAAACAGCAGACATTACATGTAGTATAAAAAGTACTGCTTCAGAAAAATGCTGTTTCTGATATTTGTATGTATATGTGAATATAAACATGTTTTGTAAAACTGCTTTGAGTAAATATTATGTATATGTATATAAACACATATGCAATATACATATTTAAGTATCCCAGTTTGTGATAAAACACGTATAGTAAATAGTTAAACCAGATGGATGGTCACTGTTCTGAATAGCGAAGACTGTTGGATGACTTATAAAGGTCTTTGATTTTGGAGTCTTTAATCCCAAGAGTAAGGTCCTCTGGAACTTCTCCTTAATATAAACCTAACATATGTACCAAATGGTAAGCTCTTTCTATTTACACAGACAAAGGGAACACAAGCACAAGTTTAGACACACACACACACACACACACACACACACACACACACGAGAGAGAGAGAGAGAGAGAGAGAGAGAGAGAGAGAGAGAGAGAGAGATTGAGAGAGAGCTTTTCAGATTATATTTTTAGTTACAAATAAACTATTCTAAACAAATTGGGTCCTATAATAATGTCCAAGTTAGAGGGAAGCAAACAAACAAAAAAACCAAGGTTGTAGCATCATAGAAAACACAGTTAAAGGGCTGAGGAGACAGTTCAATGGGCACAGTGCTTGCTGAATGATGCTGAATTTGGGTTCCCAGCAGCCATATAAAAGCTAGGTATAGCAGTGTGCATCTATAACCCCAGTGCTGGGAGAAGCAGGGTAGATAGCTGGACCCAGGTAGCTCACTTGCCCCTAGTCTAGCTGAAATGACAAGCCTAGGTTCAGCAAAAGAACCTGGTCTCAAAACATAAGATGCAAAGAGATAGAGGAAGACATCTGAGGCCAGATGCTGGCCTCCAGGTACAGGCATAGACATATTCATACATCATACACACACACACACACACACACACACACACACTCACAAACAAACATGCACCTGTATGCACACACATCTAGTCAAATACTCTGAGACTTTAGCTATTTACTGTCTTGCATTATAGAATCTTGTTTGCTTTTCTGGAATGAGTTAATTTTCTCAAGCCACCAGACTATGATTAGGTTAAAAAAAAATTAGTTTCTTCTATATCAGAGCACTCAAATCAGCACTTAGGGGGATCATTGTCTTCATTAAGTACTAATTTAATAACATTATCCAGGTGGCCTGAACAGAGTTTCCCAAGGTCCCAAACCAGCAAAACAATACTAAAACTAGTAAAATGACACAATAGCCCTATGAACTTCAAACATTACAAAGAGTAGGGAAGCTATACTCCTAATGTCTTGGGAAGCTCCTTCTACACCTAGTCTACATGCAAGGACTCTAGAAGTGAAGTGCGGCTAGTCAGCGTAAAGGATTTCATTTTCAAGCTCATCAGAGTGGAGCTGGGCAGGAGTTGTGTGGCTGTCCCTTCTCTGTTACATTCCTGTTAGATGTGGAAGAGATATCCAGCCTACAACCAGAGTAGCCTTAAAACTGTCACAGAGCAGGGAAATGGGCCAGCAGTTCACAAAGATGGGAGGAAACACATCTATGACCATTAAGAAACAGGGAAGGGGCTATCAAATGTATGGTAGATGCCAAAAGCCCTGACATCTCTAACTACCATGCAACCTTGAAGAAGAAACTTCAATGCAAGTCTAAGTTTCCTTCCTAAGAAGCAGAATGCTTCAAGGATTCACTCATGGAAAATATATCTTCACTATAGAAAGTGTATTATTGCCCCATGCTGGTAACCACTAGGTCTTCGAAAGCTAAGAACTTGTTCTCCCTGTGCATTTCTAATACTCACTCTGCTACACAGTGGACGCTAGTAGAATCTGGAAAAACAAAGTGATAATAGCAAAAGGGGAAACATTTTATTTTCTACCAAGCTTGTCCATGGTCTTCCCACTCTAAATAATGACATCTCAGAAGAAGAGATATCTAATAGAGTTAGGATGAGGATGGGGCAAGGAGTTAGTGCAAGACAGGTAAGAGTTTTATCTGCTAAAAATCAATCAGTGGTGTTCAGCATTGACAAGATGGTTGGTACAGGCATTTAAAATTAGCTTCCCTGATGGTTCCTTAGCAACATTCTACCAGAACATTATTGCTTTTCATGTGCACTACACAACCTTCACTCACACATCGAATAGCTAGGAAATGGCCATTGTTAACTGACACTGAACAAAAAGATAGGGAAAACACACTACTCAAACTCACCCTCAAACTCACCCTCCTCATTGTCCTTATGGATATGAGCATAATCCTCCGATTTTCCATCACCCTTCCTTTCTAGGTTACCCACTAGGGGAGCTAATCACTGGCCATGGAGCTTTCTGCCTACTCCATTTTGCTTCTTTGTGCTTTCCTTCTATCAGCTCACAGGGGACCTTAATTTTTTATTAATAGATTGACGGGGGGCAGGGGGAGGTTAAGTGACTGTATCAGATAATAATATCAAGAGCAATAAAATATCTCTTTGGATGAAGCAAGATGTTTGTGGCTCATACAGGCCTGCAGGAAAAGTCTGTGTGCTAAAGTCGTGCTTTTGTATGTATAATGTACAAGGTCAATGTGATAAAGAAAAAGAATGCTTTTTTTTTTTTTTGCAAGGAAGTAAAAGGCCGATAACCTTACCTATGGAGATCTAATTATTTCAATATTAAAATGATAGGATATGATACAATTTTCAAGCACAAAGGGCATCAGATTGCAAGGCAGAATCCCCACCACGACCACTTGCTAGGCATTTTCTGGGCCTCCCTGTGGCATACTATAGCCTTACATCCCTGACACACGGAGCACACAGCACTAATTTTCTCATCTGTGAAAGTCACATAATAACTGCTCTGAAATAAAAGGCACCACATAATTAGCTCCCCAACCAACATGTGAACCAAGTAATACACTTTAGAAGTACAAAGGGAAGTCTTACTTCTAGAAACAATTTGATCACACAGGTATTTGAACTCAAAATACACAAAGCCAGAAATCTCTACTAAAAATAAAATCTTACCATGAACCCAAATTGGCATTCTGTCAGTACATGCTGGCTTCTAATAGACAATAACACATCAATTAGAATGGAAGGGAATGGTGAGATCTGAGTCCCTTGTAGATACAGGTCCTTACCTCTTGAACTAGGGAAGGAGTTGTTGAGTTGCTCCATCACTTCTTCTAACCCTGTGCTTGTGTCCTGAGGAGGACTCAGAAGATCTTCCTCACCTGAGTGAAAGAGAAACAAGGATGAGCCATCACATTTCTGCCAAATACAGACACAAGAAAGGGCCACAAGAACATTTTACAAACCATTGTATGTTCATTTTATTTACTCATGGATATCATAACAAAAACCTTCTCAAGCAATTCCTCAAGTGTCATAATTAGGGACTACATCCTTAATGTGTGGAAATCAACATGGTAATTGACCTGTGTTATTATTCTTGGGGACAAAAACTTGTGTTCATACTCAGGAGTTAATATAAAGTCAACAAAACGTCTTTTCTGGAAGCTGATTAACAAATGTGAGACTTTTCTTTGAGACAAAACAATTATTATCACACACTTGCAGTGTGTTTCCTCAGCACACAAGAAAAACAAGAACATGGCAGACTGAATTTACTCCATAAAGGTAATAAGAGACAGGAGGAACTGGGGGTTTTCAGTCTTTCACATTTAACAATAACAACATCAAAAACAAAAACACAACTAAAGTACCATTAAAGTCAAATGTAATAAAAAAAATAAACCATGTACATGAACTAACAAATACTAACATTGGTATTGTAAGGATCATAGACAGAATGCTGAGGAATTTACTTTTTGTTACTTGGAATTACATTATCATCTTTGAATTGGGAATTTGTAGATAGTGTGAGCATTGGTGTCTCTCCTCACCCAATATTTTGAGTCAAGGGAGATTTTATCTGGGGCAAACCAAACTAATGAATTCTGAAGGTTCTTTGAAAGTTGTTTTTCATACTAATTAAACTCCTAACCATGAAATAACTTCATTCTAAGCTCTGTGTGTTAAGTGCATTGTTACTTTGAAAGCAAGACCTTGTTCAAGCAAGTCAGAAATAATGAACGGGATTAAGGACAAGCTCATGTTCACATGTGACTAGGAAATGACTAGGGAAGTAGTGATTAAATGATTTACATATTCTTTTCATTTCCGTTGGTCTATGCCATGCTTGGATTTTCAGTTAAGATTCTAATCCTGCATTTATTCCTGCATTTTCAAGCTTGTTTTTAGAGCACAAGCAGAAAGATTCATTGCTAAGACAAATCATATTCTAGGACGTGAGTCTGCATGTTGTTCCTACAATGGAGGGTTAAGAAGCTGGGCTGGATAAAAAGCCTGAGTCTGTGAGTCTCATGCCAGGGCAAATCTCATTGAAATCCTAAGCACAGAAAAACACTGTGAAGAATGAAGTTCACAAAAAAGCAAGAGACTAGATTCATCTTCCTTCATCTCTTCTCTCAACATGCATGCACACATAAGTGAACACATAGACACATACATACACACATTTTCAGGTTTTGTCTTCAGAAGAGAAAAAAAGTGGCATTTAGTATTTCTAGTTTATTTATTCTTAATAAATTTAAGTTAAACACCTACTATCATAGAAAGAATGATATATTACCAGAAGAGACACAACCCTGACCAATTGCAGAGCCAATTACATATTTTTGTTCCATTTCTGATACAAATTTTTATTGAACTGGGAAACATGAGGCATTTTTAATGACAGCAAGACCATGTTCCTGACAGTACATCTTACAGATTAAATCAGAACCAGCGGAAACACTCAGCATCATGTCAATATATCTGACAGTTTAATTAAATCATACCTAAGTTCTTGGAATTTCATTGTAAGACCCAGGTACAGTTCAGTGATGTGACTGGCAGTACTGTTCCTGAATGACTTCAGGGATTAAACTGTAAAGTATAAGCTAATGATGTCAGCTAAGTTCCTCTTTACAGGTAAGCTATCCCCTGTCTCAAAAAGGAGTATCTAAATTCAAATGCAAAATTGGCTTGTTTTCATAGCTTTTGTGACAGTGATAATTGTACCCATTAAAACATTTTTGGGGGTGTTGGTGTTTGAATGCAGAGAGCTATGCATCTCTGATTTGAAAATTTTGTGGTTATTTGCAATAACTGTCACTGGTCCTCAACACATAAGAATAGGATTTAAGGATTTAGAAATGCTAATTACCACAACCTGATCACTATCACTGCATGTTATATATGTGAACTGAATTATAATATGGGACCCCATAAATAATAGTAAATACAAATCAAGTTTGAAGTAAAGGTCAAAAAATATATAACGATATACTTTGTTTCAATTTGCCAGCCCAGTAAGATAGCAAAATTTACTGTTTGCCTAATAATACACTATGTAACTATAATATAAAAGACAACCCAGAATGTTCTAATTATAATAGCCACAATCATGCCAAGCTTGCTAACTACTATTTTTTCTTCATTTAGTTCATCTTCTCATGAACATGCCTAAAAAATTCTTTTTTGAGTTATTAACAATATTCTCTGGCTTTATTTGAAACTAAGGTTTACAAATGACTGTATCTAGAAAAAATTATTTTCTTTTTAAACATGGAACTGTGCCTTAGCAAATTATTTTTTTTCTTACAAAAGGGAAGCATGTGAACACACATGATTACTATGACATGACTAGTTAGTGAATACATCTGCAGCACTGACCCACTTCGGAAGTGAGTTGTTTTTCAAAACTGATCTAAAGAGAGGGATTCTATGACATCAAATCTTTCTCCTATCTTCTTCTGTTTAAAACTATTAGGATATAATTTAATTAACCTATAACTTATATTGTTCTACATTCTTTAAAAAAAAGAATATGCCCACTATTTGGGGGAGTGATTGGGACAATTTTTGTCTTCATACCATTATATTATGCCTTGTCTTCCTTGATTCTCTCTAGTTTTTCAATAAAAAACCACTAGGAATTATCTAATACTGTATATTTAGGTCCAACTATGTTTTCATAGCCTAACTGAAAACAGTTGCTATATGTTATGTATGTGCTGTTGATTATCAGTTAGTCAGCTTTAAACTATGATAAAAGATACTCATACTAAAATATCTCAAAGATACAGATTTCTCCTCTGTCTACACAAAAATATTTTGTGCTTGGGGCTGGAGAAATGGATTGGCAGTTAAAAGGAATGACTGCTCTTCCTGAAGACCCAGGTCTGGTTCCTAGCACACAAATGGTGGCTTTACAAGTGTCCAAGTGTTGGTAACTCCAGTTCCAGGAAACCGAACATCCTGTTTTGGCCTCTGAAGATAGAAGACATGCATATAGTACTGGTTTGAATAAAAATGGCCCCCATAGGCTCAAAGGGAGTGGCACCATTAGGAGGTGTAGCCCTGTTGGAGGAAATGTGTTACTGGGGGAGCTTTGAGCTTTCAGAAGATTAAGCCATGCCCAGTGGCTCTGTCTTTCTGCTGCCTATGGACCCAGATGTAGAACTCCCAGCTACCTCTCCAGCACCATGTCTGCCTGCATGCTGCTGTACTTCCAACCATTATGATAATGGACTAACCTCTGAACCTGTAAGCCAGCCCCAGTGAAATATTTCCTTTATAAAGGTTGTTAGTATTCTGTCTAAACTCCACCTCCACAGTTATCTGGCAACAGCCAGGTATATGCTCCTGCCCACAGTTACCTGGCAACAGCCAGGTAGGCCTGCCCACTATAAAAGGGTCTGCTTGCCCCCTCCTCTCTCTCTCTTGCTTGCTTGCTCTCTAGCCTCTCCCTGTCCCCTCGCCCCTCCTCCTTCCCTTCCCTTCCCCCTCTCTCCAAGTGGTCATGGCTGGCCTCTACTCCTCTACCTATCACCTCTCTGCTCTCCTCCTCCTCCTCCTCCTCCTCCTCCTCCTCCTCCTCCTCCTCCTCCTCCTCTTCTTCCCTCCCTCCCTCCCTCACTCCCTCCCTCCCTCCCTCCCTCTACTATCCTCCTGGCTCCCCTCTCCATGCCCTGGATAAACTCTATTCTATACTATACTGTCATGTGGCTGGTCCCTCAGGGTGAAGAGATGCCTCAGCATAGGCCGGCTGAGACATCCCCTTCCCCCATACCTCTCCACACACCCACAGAACATACTCTTTATCTCTTTATCCTTTTATAAACACATCAATGGTGCTTCCTCACAGCAAAATAGAGCCTAAGAGAATGGTGCACAAATATACATGCAGGCAAGACACACACAGAGAAAATTAAAAACACGTTTTTGTGCTGGATATACAAAAGAGTAAAGTCACCAAGCACTTGACTGCAGGTTTGTTGCCCTGAGAGTAATTAATTGAAACAGAAAAAAGATCAAGAAATTAGAACTGTTTTTAAGGAGTTTAAGTTCTATAGTATTCTATAAAGAGAGAAGAAATACAAATAATTGTTTCATATGTTGTTCCAGGAAGGGGAACAGCATTTGAAATATAAATAAATAAAATAATCAATAAAAAGTACCTGCAAGTAATTATGTATAATATAGAATATAATTACAGGATATAATAATGCAAGTCAAAACTATATAGTGTACGATGAATTTAAAAGGAAGATCCATTTTGTGCCAAAAGGATAATCTATTTCAGCTTAGGAAAAACATTGCTTCCACATTAAAGAATTCGGAATTGATTTGGTGGGCAAATCAGGTCTTAGATCAGAAATAGAATGAAAAGGGTCTGCATAGCTGCAAAGTAACTAGAAACACCGGGGAGTTGGCTTTGAAAGAGGGAGGCCAAAGAAGAGAAACCAATCAAGACAGTATGCATATATGTTCAGGTAGTAGATGACAAAGAGCTGAGTTGGGGGCAGAAACAGCTGACATGAAGAGTTCAACTTTTTTTTCATAACAGGAATCAAAAACAGTCTTATCTTTATGACTGGTGGAAAAATACAATGACGGAAAGATGCAAAAAGGAAAACAGGTGGGAAATTGTCAAAGACATTTCAAAAAACACTGATGGATGAAGTCTGGGCCAGAACTCTCAACATAGAACAATCAGCATAGTAGAAGCCTCAACTGAAGTTCTCTCTTCCATTTTATGTCAGGTTGATAGATAGAGCTGAACATGATATTCTCCGATTATCTTTCTTTTTTTGACACTTAAAATAAGGACAGTTTATTTTTTATAAAATTAATACATTAATTTTAAAAGGGGAAAGTAAACTTC